GTTGTGGTGCCACGAATCTGTGGATGCATGATTTTTGTGGTGCCCACAATATGATGGTAGTTTTATTTCGTTTCAATGTAAAAATCATATGAATTCACATGGCCCACAATATGATGGTAGTTTTATTTCGTTTCAATGTAAAAATCATATGAATTCATGAGGATCCATGTAGATCCGACTTTTACCCTTTTCTAAAAATGTGTGAGCTGGAGGCTAAAAAATTGTGAGCTAGCTCACACTAACTTAGCTTAGAGGGAACACTGCTGGGGACTAAGCAGATGCCAGGGGGGGAGTCCAGCAAACCAGTTATATCCAAATAACGGTTTAAAAGGAGCTTCCAGCGTTGTACTGAAATGCCAATAACTTGATTAAACCAGCAAGCACCCCCACACACACACCCCACACACACACACCGGAAAACCTCTTGTATCCAAATAATTTTTAAAAGCTGGTAGCTTTATGGGTGGACAGCTTGCCTAAACCTATAAACCACGTAATAACAAAACATGAAAGCCCTTTTCTCTGGTCAGTGTAACCGGAAGTTGAACGGAATGTTTTTCGTAGCGGACCGGAAGCGCTTGGCGCTGGGGACTCGGGGTTGCCGTGACAGCGGAAGATTCGAGTCTTCAGAGATTCGTTGCTGAGGGAGGCGAGGCTGGCAAATGGTGGCATCGGCAACACGTCCCTGGGCCTAGTCTCGGTGTTGTAAGTCGGCGAGTTTCGCGGAGCGTCCTCCCGGTGACCTGCCGGGGCTCCGACCATGGAGCGCGCCGCCGCTATGACGGACATGTACGACCAGGCGTTGCTGGGCATCTTGCAGCATGTGGGCAACGTCCAGGAGTTCCTGAATATCCTCTTCGGCTTCCTCTATCGCAAGACAGACTTCTACCGCCTCCTGCTGCAGCCAGGGGACCGACTGGGTTTTCCTCCTGGCGTGGCGAAGAGTATGACTGTCAGGGTGGGTATAGGTGCGGGCTTGATCCCTCAGCCAGCCGTCTGGTCTGCTCTTCTCCCCTCAAACCGGGGTCGAGAGAAATGGCTGGTCTCTCTCAGAGCCTCCCTGGATCTGCAGACAGCTGCACGTAGTGTGGAAGCCCTTAGAAACAAACTTTGTTTTGAAGAATAACTTCCCGGGCTTTCCTTTGCCATGCATGCATTGTTGTTCAGTAACTGATCTAGGAAATGCTTTTTACAAAAGCTGTCGAGCACATAAAGAACAGGTTGTAGAAAGGGATTGTGGTCTCCGTTGTGTCTATGATCAAGGACTTAAAGTTATGCCACCTGTGCCTTTATTGGTACCTCACTCCTAATTTTATCCTTGTAAACTAGTATGGCATAGAGCTTCAAGCATACATACAAAATATGTAGATTCAGTTATACTTATGAAGCCAATGACGGCTGATGTGTGATGATTAGAAGAGTTGGAGTGTTTTAGCTACAGGTCTCATTTGGATGAGAGATGGATACAAATAAATGGTAGTTATTAGGAAGGCAAACCTGCTCACCTGTGGAATGCTGCTGGAGTATCATTATTCCCACCTTGTATTGCACTTGGCCCTCACTAGGTTTCTAAAAATTTGCACATTTCCAAACAGGGAAAATTTCAATTGATGACTTCCGTATAATGTGTCCAAGGCAGATGCTAACTAATGCATATATCAGTTTGTTTTAGATAATGATCTTTGTCCTAAGTATGTGCATTTATGTTTATTTTTGCCCCTGACTTTTTTTCTTGGAAACTTTTTAAAAATACCGTCTCTACTTTTGCATATTAAGCTTCTTTGATGCAGCGTCTCACTAGAAGCTTATGTTTACCTGGTGACTGGCTCATTAGCTTTTCCTTCCTAGTGTGGTTTCCAATTGATATGAATATCCTTCACTGACATTGCTTTAAATTCTTCACCACTCTATTAGTTAGGAATGTAAACAAGCAAGGTGATTGTGGTACTGTTGCCTTTTTGAAACCATTGCCTTACTACTTCTCTGCAGTTGGCTGTTATGTGTTTTGCTGTCTCACTTCCAGGCATTCAAGAATTTTGAAGATTTGGCTCGTCATGATGATGAGAGAAGACAGCGTGAACTTGAGGAAAAGTTGAAGAAGAGGGAGGAGGAGGAAGGTGCAGCAGCTGTGGCAGAGAGGATGAAGGTGCCTGTCATAGCTGAGGAGGTTGAGATCAGCTCAGCAGCTGAGCAGAACTCTGCATCAGGTGATGGAAAGGCTGCCGAAGCACCAGAGTCTGCAGCAGTACCAGAGAGGGCAGAAGCAGAAGCTGCCAGCACAGTAGCAACTCCCTCAGGAGCAGCTTGTCCTGTAGAAGCTCAGCTAACAGAACCGCCAAAGTGAGTGGCTGCTACAGTGCTTGGTAAAATGTTTTGCCTAAATGGAAATGAAGTAGCATGGTCCAGCTGTGGATCTGGTTTAGTCTGCCATTCTGTAAGCTTGGGTGGATGAGTGTGTGGGATCATTGCTTAAAGAGGTGGGACAGCTCAAGAAACATGTCCATTTTGAGCCTGGGACAGTCTTTTTTCTCCAGTGAATTGGCCTAATGCAGCAGCCTTCTGGAGAGATGTAAAAAATGTGCCAGCAGCATTTTAGTCTGCATGTGCTTATGCATCTGCCAAAGGGTGGCTTAATGAATTAATTAATTGCATTTATAAGCAGTGGGTTTGCCTTGATACCTGCCTAGAAGAAATAGAGGAGAGGTGGCTACATGCATATGTGAGAGCCTGTGCTCTGGAATGTCTTTAGATATTGTAGTGTACCTTCCAAACTAGTTAACGTCAGTAAGATGAGTCAATTGCTGTGAAAAGCCATAAAAGAGTTCCTGTAATTTGTAGGGTTCAGGGCAACTGCTCCCAGCTGTTGTGCCCTTGGAGTTTTGAAGCAGGTGGCATTTGAAACTTTCACATCTGATGGATGTAAGCCAAAGGTCCGACATGTATTGCCTTTCTCTCTTTTTTTTTCCTTGTGGGAATTCCAGCTTATCCTGTGGAGAACCTCAGAATTCTAGGTTGGGTACTGCCTATCTGTTGTGGAGGAAAGCTAATGCTTGTTTTGCTAACTCATTTCAAAATTAGTTTTAAAATATTCCTTCTTGCCCTGCTTAATGTGTAGCATCGTGCTGATGTTTTCTGTTTCTGAGCTTCTACTAGTACAAAATGGTAATGCTGGGAAATTGTTTTCAGCATTTGAAGACAAGTCTGGTCATGAACTCTTGTCACTAGAGATGATTTTGAGAAATAGGCACTTCTGAGCTTTTATCTGGATCAGCTGATGCTTGGGGGAGGCGGAGCTGTGCCAGCCAGCATATCAACTCCCTGCCTCTCACGAGGAACTAGATCTCTCTTGGGAGAGCGGGGAATGCTCAGTGGGGCACAGACAGGTTATAGTCTTGCCTTTCAAACAAACAGGGAAGGGGGCAAGTGAGAATCACTGACTTCCTACTCCAGGAGAGGACGTAGAACCGTCTTCCCCTTCTCCATCTGAGGCCATGTGGGAGGGACTAGGATGGGCCCCTTGACAGTAGTGCAGTCAGTGATTAGATTTTTGGACTAGGATCTGTGACTCGTGTTCAGATCCCTGTTCTGTAGTGAAGCTTGCAGGGTGACCATGGACCACTCACATACTTTCAGTCTAGTTTACTTCAGAGGAGTTTTGCTTATATGGTGAGGAAGGGAGAACCATGTATGTTGCCTTGAGCTCTTTGATGGAAGAGCAGAATAAAAATATCCTAGACAGACAGAGGCTGGTTGGTTTTTTATTATTATGTAGAACTTGGAGTACATAAGTCACTCCAGTTGACATTGTTGGGACTGGTTTTCCTGCAAGAGTGCTTAACTGTGCACAGAAGTCACTTGCACTGAAAAGTCAGTTGTGTGACTGTCATATACTCCCAAGTTCTCAATAATAAAACAGTCTAAATTACTACTGCTGAGGCCAGTTGGGGTGAGTGACTTCTGAGCAATCAGAGAGCAAAAAGTAGTTTTGTGGCACTTGAAAGACTGAAAAGATTATTTCAGCATGAGCATTTGTGAGCTAAAGCCTGTTACGTTGCATGCATGGTCTTCAGCTGTTAGATATATGTATACACGTGGGCACATTTAAAAAGTGTGTAAGTGAGGGTAATATACAGTGTTTTATACAAACCTCAGATGTCACAAGAAAAACTAACTTCTAGCCAATTTCTCCTCAGTTTCTCATAATTTCATTATTGCTTTATAAAGCTCCATTTATTTGAATTCTGATGCCAATATAGAAATCAACTGGTTAAGAAATGAATACACCTACCAGTGCTGAAATAGTGTAAAGTTAACATTAAAACTAGCAATGACAAGAATTTTACACACATATCTTTTTATGTCATAACAATAACACGTATTCTGAAATGAAATGATAAAATAGATTGCTGAGGGACAGTACAAAAAGACAAACAACTGCTGAAAATATTAGGCCCCACAATGAAATGTCTGGGCTCCGTGATGACCTGGCACTAGGACTTCTGTGTTTCTGGGAGCTACTTGAATTTGTTTCAAGGGCCAGGAGAGCAAACAGTCACAAAACAGCAGCTTGGCAAGTAGGACCAGTCATAAAATGGTGGCATGTAAAAAAAAAATTACAGCATTTCAGAGCAGGCTTGTTGTACACTAATGGGGAAAACTTTCCTGTGTGGTTTTCTCAAAGCAAGCCCCCATCCTAAATTGTAACATGTCCTGCAGGGAAAAAAATATACAGCTACCTCTATATTTTCCCTGGAAGAGGCAAATAGCAGCTTTGATGTTGGGTGAGAGACCCATCCTAAATTGTAACATGTCCTGCAGGAAAAAAAATATACAGCTACCTCTATATTTTTCCTGGAAGAGGCAAACAGCAGCTTTGATGTTGGGTGAGAGTCAATAGCATGATCCTTTCCTGTCCAGGACATGGGTATGCATGTATGCACAAAGGAAGAGGCAGCAAGGTTGATGGGAAAGGCTGCTGGAGCCGTCATTTTCCTATCTAGAGAAATGGGGTGTGCACGCAAGAGAAAGTGGAGAGAACTGCTGCAGTAGTTTTAAAGGGAAGGATGAGAAAGTGTTTATAACAGCATTGAAGGAGGGTCAGGGAGCTATATTTAGTTGCTTGGCGAGTGACTTGGGTAATTCCGGAGTGACCACCTGCCCACCCATACGCTAAAGTGTGTATATTAGTAGTTTCATGACATGGAAAATGTGGGATCTACAGCCACTGTACACTTCTGCAATGTTGGGTTGGATATTACAAGACGCTTCCATAATTCCAATTGCCAAGCATGGAATAGTGAAGGCTGAAGCTACGGTATCCAGCTGGCCTTTGTAATTCTGGTGGTGAGAGATGGTGTTTTTTTCTTGTGCAGAGGAATTAGGGTGCAACATGATACCAAAGGCACCAGTGTATGCCTGCTTGCCTGCTGATATGGAGGGGAGAAATGCTGGTATGAAAAGTTGCTGAAAATTATTAATGGAGACCTCTTCCCTCTTTTTTTATTTTGTAACATCCAGCCTGAAGAAGTGTTCTGGAGAACTCAAAAGATTGCACATTGTTGTGTATCATTGTAGCTGGTCCTAAAAAATGGTATTACATGTATTGTGGCTTGTTTCTGGACCGGTACAGCTGTAAACAACTTTTGTCTTGTTTGTATATCTATATAAAGCATGTACTTTCAGAAGGAAGCTGTTATTTCTTCACAGATAGAAGCTTCCTATGTCCTGTTTTGCTCTGATAATTCCCAAAGGGTAGCTGTGGTAGCAAAACAGAAGTCTAGTGGTGTCTTAAAGACTAACAACATTTATTCCAACATGAGCTTTTGTCGAGTCAATGATCACTTCTGCAGATCCTCTGAGGAAGGAATCATATTCCACATTTGTATAGGAAAATTACAGAAGGGGAGGGGGAAGGGAGCAGTTTGGAACAGGGAGAATATGACAGGGAACATTATTCCTCAAATGCTTTAATGTCATATTAATAAAAGGGAAGATCATTATATTACTGGAAAATTATCACTTCACCAGTTGTCTTATATTTACTGTATATGACCAAAGGAGCAACCATCCTGAATCACACCAGCGGTCCATCTAGTCCAGTGTCCTGGCCAACAGTGCCAGGAACGGAGGATAAAATCACAAATCCTAGATTTCTCCCTCCAAGTCCCTAAAGGGGCACTCAGCAAACTAGAATTAAGCCTACCATTAAGAAGTTGACTGATGGCTATTAGATTCAAGGGTTGGGCTGAAGTCTTTGTATTATATGCATTACATCACAAATATTGCTATATAAATAATGTAGCCTTGTCTGGAACGCTATTGTTATATCCTATATTTTTTACTTATTATGAGTTTGTCACTTCAGATCCTTTCAGGACTACCTCCAGGTTGAGCTCTTCCTTGAAGCTGTCTGTTTGGTCATACCATTTCTTTTCTTTTCTTCTTTTCTTTTCTTTGACAACGGCAGCATTAGGGGAGAACACTATCCCCAAGTAGGTGCAGAAGCCTCCTGTGCTATCTACCTTCTACAGGAAGGAAATGAGGGCATCTTGCACTTAAGTTTGTAAGGAGAGAGGCAGAAGTTGTATAGCTATGTTTTAATCCTGGTTTTGACTTTGATTGTCTGTTACTTGCTGCATACAAGGTTTTGTGTGCTACCTTGAGTCGCCTTGGTCAGTGGTAAGGGTGGCATATACATAAATTGGGGGGACATTTGATGTGTGCTTTGAGGGAGCAATGTTGATTAAAGGTCAAGAACCACTATATTAGAAACAAATTGTCCCCTGCTGAAGGTTGACTGGTGACACAAAGCACATTTTCCCCCTGCGATTTCTGAATAAACCTGACTTTCTGCCAGTCTATAAATGGTGTTTTACTCAGTCTGGGAGTTTCTTTTTTGTAAGACTTAAGCAGAGTGACCAGCTGCTAATCAGAAAATAGGGGTGTAGGTGAGCATCCTTTCTGTTTATCTCTTGACGTTGCCGTTTGGACAATTATAAATAAGTAACAGGTCTCATTTTGGTTGTTACTTGTTGAATGTGTATGAAGCTTTACTGCAGTACTATTATGGGGATCTCTTAGAACCCAGCTGTATGTAATGTCTGCTGCTCTGATTCAGTTGGAGAAGGCTGCATGCTTAATGCCAGCACTTGCCAATCATCTGCATTTTGTAGATGATCCACGTTGCTAGCTAGGATGTTTCCTCCCTAGGGTCATAGAAGGGGCCTCATACAACACCTAGTCCAATCTACTGATCAATACAGGTCCAAAGCTAGAGCATCCCTGACCAATGGCTGTCCAGACTCTGCTTGGAATACCTCCAGCAAGGGAGAGTCTCTCTG